GCCCCTCAGTCTTAGATTTTCTCTTGGATTGACTTGGCTAGGGAGTACGCAGCGTCTTGACTTCCGCCCGCGGATCGGGGGGGGGGGGGGGGGGGGGGGGGTGATGCTGTCGGTGTACGCTGGAAGCTTGGGCCACTTTTCTTTCGTTCTATTTGTTTGGTCGGTGAAAATCTTGGAACAACGTACGTTCAACATGATGCCGGTACTGTTCTGGTTGACGGGACGCGAGAAACCTCCGCAGTTCGCGAGCACATGTAGGGAAGACGTGACATGAGAAGTGCCCCTGTGATGTTCCCGGAAGACGGAAAGTATCATTCGTGATTGTCGTGTGTGCTTTGAAAGCGAAAGGAGTCACAGGGTCCACGCGTGCGCAACCAGAAGCCAATGTTCACGACAGCGCTGTGTTGACTTCGGCGATCTTGTTGTGTTTGGTGCAACACGGCGATGCGACAAAAAACTGAAACGTTCGTGGTGTGTGGTGCGGGGCTTGGAAGTAGAAACCACTAACACGGAGCGCAAATTGGTTGTTGTGGAGCTGACGTTCAACTGGTTCAGACCCGGTCGTCGTCAGCTGATCCGGTCCAGCTGGTCCGATAGGACGCCGCGAGCTGTGGCTGCGAGCTTTTTTAAAAGTAAATCTTTCTTCGTTTCGTTTCAAAATATGAAAGATTGTCGACGCATACCGTGAGTAAAATGCTGCGGGGTGTTTTCAACAAAATTACGTCGTTTTCATTGTACAATGGACTCCGGATTGTTGTCCTAAATTTGCCGTTTTTATGCTTCGGGTTGTTAGGCTGCGTTTGCACAGCGACGTGTTTGCACGATGACGCACACCGCTCGAGTAGATGATTCGGTCCTGCAAACGACGGGTTACACAGAATTTCAGGGAAACTTAAGTCACCACCGATATGTTCCTGTAGATCTCGTGCGAGTTTGTAGCACTCAACATGCGGTGTGAATAAATTTAGGCAAGATTTCCTACCTGCCCACAGATGCATGAACTGAGACCATTTTTTACGTAGTGAACGCAGTGCTTTTTCTTTATTTTGCGAAGAGGCGTTGGTGCATTTATTATGGTGCAATCACCTGAGAGTTCAGAAATTGGAGAGGGCGATCAAGCTTTCCGAACTTGGTCTCTTTGCTCTCTGGCACTGCCCCAAGTTGCAGTTTCAGTAGGCATATCTTCTAACAGGTACAAACTGCCCTAAAGCTGCTAAAATACTGGGAAGCCAGGACGGTGCGGACTCCGTGTTTCACAAGTATGCAAATGATTTTGTTATGCCCGTCGTTTGCGTCTCTCCAGCAAAACAAATAAGATGATCTAGAAAGGCGTAATCGCAAGCCAAGATTGACGATAACCACGTAAAATGGTTCGGAAGCCGAGAAAAAAAATTCTGACGTCTAAAACAGAATTTAAACGTCCGAAGGCTTCTCCAGACAGCTGTAGCGTAATAACCTGGCTTTGTCAGGTCTTTTACGTAACAGCTGTGTCTTAGTCGCGGACGTTCGGTGCACCCGATGGGAACCTCGAAGGCCTCCGGAGCGAAATGACGAGAACATACCTGGACACGTTTGTCGCTGCACGAACGCCGGATTGCCTGCAGCCAAATAGCATTTAGCTTATGATCTTTCAGGGCGACATGGCTGCTGGAAGACTCGCTGTCGCAATCACTCATCTCCCAGCACTTTACAGGAGCTGACAACTCCAAAAGTCAGCATTTGAAAACGCAAGCAAGAAAAAAAAAAAAAAAAAAAAAACATGCGAAGAAAGCAAGGAGGAAAACCAAAGTTACAAACCGGGCTATGAAAGCCAAAAACCCCGTGTCGCTTCCCATCACTAACACTGGCTACAGCTGCTAAACACACACTACTTCACTTCAGGAAGTCTCACTCAAGCACCTGGGTCAACATGAAACACTGATCACTTAGGCGAAACGACTAGTCGAGATAGCGAGACAGGCGGGAACAGGGGCTTCGGCGGCCATGAAAGAATGGCGAAGTTTTTGTTTGTTATGATATGAATCCAAGCGGAAGTGCCCGTCTTGTAAACGTTTGCAAAAAATAATACCTCTGATTACATAGGTTATTCTTTAAACGCAAAAATATGCCCCTCAAAAGGAAATTACAACATATCACAAAGGTTTAACAACCATGATCTAAGCTGCCAATCAAATTCTTAGCCAATGAGAAGTATAGCAGCCGATTGGGGCTAAACGTCACGGAACACCAACTTCGTGGCGCGCGATTTAAAACGGACGAAACAGCCGCAAACTAAAATTCGTCTCACGCAATAAATATTGCTCAAAAAATTTTCTCGCGGAAAAAATATTTTTTGACATGCTTGTCTAAATTAGGCTGTTAAAAAAAAAAGTTTTTTTTTTGCAGTTACCTTTTAACGAAAAAACATTCCCAGATGCACCATTCCCACATGCAATAGGAACAGGTAAAGTGATGTATCGGACAACATTAGATAGAAATTAAATGTAGATCAAATGTTAAGCTCATAATTGTAATAGGCCTAGAGTTCTTATTTATAATGTTTTATGGTAAACAAATTTAATCGACTGCAAAACATTTATAATTGAATGCTTGAGGGTGAATTCTTGTGTCATAGTTTTTACTTCGAGAGAACCATGAGTAGCTTTAAGAGACCAACCTAAACTAGGGCTACGACATGGATTACAATGCACACTGGAGCACTTTAAACAGTTTGCACAAAAGAGAGGAAAACAATAAGAGGCCAGCAATCCGTTTGCTTCGCTCTAGCGAAATATCAAGCCTAAAACGATTTTTCGTTGATATTTTCAGAGCGTCTGATATTTTATCTTTCTCTAATCAAATACGCTCGAAAATATGCTGATGTAGTCCATTCGAAAGGGTCAATGCGCCATCGAGTTGTCGTTGTAGATTCGCGCATCAATGCTTGGAATACGGAAAAAACAAAAACAAAAACAAAAAAACATCAAACAAACAAACAACGCTTTGGGAGGTTTCTGAAAGATCAATGGTGCAAAAGTTTAGTTTGAAACCCTGATGCGGCGTAACCTTAATCCATCCTGAATACTCGAATTATTAGCAAGTGTTTCGTTGCCCCAGCCACACTTTTTTGATAACTTGTAGCGTCTGATGCAAAGTAGGATGTCCTTGAACTCGGCGAACCACAAGAGCATTTGGGGGGTTTGTGTCGCTCATATTTAAAGTAACGAAAGGTGCCACTAGAAAGAGCTGCACTGTTATGGATCTGACAATAATAGTATTACGTTGTTCCCAGATATACTGTAGCAGGTGTTTGGAGTGACTGAGAACAAGAAAACGTTACAACCATTTCTCCGTTCCTTTCGGACGCATAACTCGGGCAATGTGTGCGTGATGTTGCCTAGCATTATAATAACTAAAATTGTAAACTTTAGAAACACTTGAAGCACGTCGGAAGCGCGGCGATGTTCTGAAGGTATTACTCGTGCAACAGGCTGGCGGGCTGAAAACATGGGTGACAAAATTATCATCTGCAATTTCGCTCTACCATCCTTGCGGATGTTTCACGTCGAGTAACTTTGATGCAACCAGCGCTTGAAGCCTAATTATTTTATTGCTTTCGGCGAGGCTTAGCAAGTTTTTATTGGAGGCCTATATTTCTTACGAATTAAAATTTAATCGCAAAATTTAGTTCATTATTCAACTTACCGTGACTATCAGTCCCACACATTATCTGCCCCTACTGGTATAACTCACCTGCACGAACCGTATTAATGCACCTTCCAGGGCTCTTTTAAAATAATGATGCTCGAAAGTATTATTAGCCACTCTCAATAACTATTATACTAGAAGTCTACAACGTTTATCCACTATATTCACTATTTCGAAACCGCGTTTAGTCAGTAAAACGACGTTGACTAAATTAGGGTGACTTTCTCCACGGTCCCTCATCTCTTGGTTGCCAGGGCTTGACTCAGGTGGAGGGAACTCTTCCACGACTTGCATTTGTCGTCTCGGTGAATAGGGCGACTACTCTGATTCTGGGTACCCGTTGCATCGCTCGTTCTCCCAGGGTAAACAAGTTTTCAACCTCAGCTTGACTAGGAATGTGCCTATAGCCCATTACTGGATGTCTTCTGATGTGACCGTGAGGCCTACCTCTTCAAGGAATTCGTCCATGGTGTTTAACGTAGTGTGCCTAGATTTCAGATTGTTTTCAACTGCTCAAATGGGGTCACGTGATGTACGAGAGCGTTTGCAATAAATCTGCGAGGAGGTGACAACAGTGTTGATCTTCTGAAAGCGCATCCAACTCTGCGCCCGCCTCTCACCAGGCGACAATGCAAGAAGACGCGCACTTGCAAACCAACTGCGGAGGATGCGTCCGCCATTAAACTGTAAACGTTCTCCATGGCTTAAGTACCGCCCACTCCTACATTTTTCTTTAGTCTAGTGCTGACTGCAGCTTCTCCTCCTAGAGACCAACCGCTCTGACTTTGGTTCAACCTTTGATGTCATCAACTGGAATGTTAAAGCCGAGATTTGGGATCCGGGCTAGTCGTGGAGGGAGGTGTTTTTTTACTGAAAATAGTACCAAAATAGCGTTGCTCGTTAGCTTGGAAAGAGGCTAACCCGTTACAGAGCTCCGATATCATTTTGCAAATGTAACGAAATACGTCACTTTTACGTTAGTTTGTCGATACTTGGGGGGGTGTTTCACTGTGAGTATATGGCAGCTGTTTATAATAAGCCGCCTCTATAAACTTCGGCAACAATAGGGTTGTTCAGAGTGATTATTTATTTCTTTATTTATTTGTACTTTGCAACGCCGGAGCATCACAGCAGAGGAGTGGGTTACAGATCACATTTATACGTTGGAACCTCACACCAACAGCACAATCCAGCAAACAACGATATAAATAAAACGTGGAAAATAACACACAATAATAAAATTTCAAAATTTTAATAACGCCAAAAATATTAGCAAAAACATTCACATTCCAGTGATCAGGTTTATGAAAAATTCATTGTCTACAGGATGTGTAAGGAATGTCTTCGAACACGTGACGCTTAGCCCAGATTGTTTGTCTGGCCTCGGCAGGATGTGCATAATGTACATCCTTGAACACGTGACGCTTCGCGAGCTCGGTTCGGAGAACTAAATTTTGCCCCATAGCACCTGCCTGGGAAGAAGAAACCACTCTAAAAAGAACGTCCGGATGCACGCTCCAACACGCCAGCCGTTTTCAGTATGTCTATCGAGATAATTCATTGATTGAAGACCGCCACAATTGCGGAATAATATAACGACAAATATTATAATTCTTTTCCTATTTCGTTTTCGACAACGTTTCCTCTGTCATCTGTCTGAAAACTGAGGATGGACTGGAGAGCAGCTCTTGCACAGGTCCGAATTCCAGAACGCGACCGTCGCCCATAACGAGGACCCTGCAAGAAGACACAAACGGAAATACGTATTACATTAAGAATAAACGGAGCATGCACGCGCTTCTGTACTCCATTTCATCTGAGCTAATGGGGCGATTGTAGGTACGCGCGCGTTGCAACAATCATCAGTTCTTCGCCACGTTGTCACATGCTTTTCTCAAGCTGAGGCGCAGAGAGCGGGGCCAGGCCATTGATTGCTTCGATGAGCGCGTAGACCAGCTGTATGGGCTCAGCATATACAGTTCACCTAATGAGCACGTAGTTTGCAGCGGCCTCTTATGTTAGCGACGAACGGGGAATGGTCAGAAATATATGTAATGTAATAAAAACAAGAGATTATTTGTTAACCTCTCCTAGTGACTTTCTAAGGTTTTTCGCGTAACAAAAATTTTAGGATGAAAAGTATCTTTTTTTTTTTTTGCATTTTAGTTTACTTAATTAGTTCCCTCAAAACTGAAGGTTCCTCGGCTGGAAGTTGTGTTGTCACCGATGAACGCAAGTGAAAGCTGACATGGCACTCGTGCCCAGCATGTTTCCCGCACTGACCCTCAGTTAATTACGAAAAAAAAAGTTTTCTAGGTAAGTGGTGTTAATCCGGGCGGCTAAAGGAAGGGATCTGGTGTGAGGAGGCGTCCGGATATAGAGGCACGACGGGAAACAAGTGCACTCACCCCTACACTATATTTGTTTCAAAAGAACGTTTATTCTGCAAGAGAGGAAAAGCCTCATCGCCATCCTTCCCACTTCCCCTTCTGCCAGTGCTACATTGACGCCGGAGGGCGTCAATGTAGCATGGGGCTGGATGAGCCGGGATAAGCTCCCGGCTTATCCAGCTCTAAGATGCAGCAGCAAAAGGAGTCCCCTCCATGTCAAAAGAACAATGGGAAAAGGGGAAAATGAGAAGGGTGGCGAGGAGAATTTTCCTGCCCTGCGGAAAATGAGTCTGTAGGTCGGTAGACGCAGCCGACGCTTCGAGCTGATGGGGGCCAATCCGACAGCTTCAAAACCGCATCATCATGGTGTTCGTCGTGTTTTTGGGAGTGTTCATAATTTCGTAATCTATTACGTTACGTAACATACGTGATCCGTTACAAGGAACGAGTTTCTTCTAACGGATTGCGGTGACAAAGTAAAGACTTATACTGCGTGTCACTAGTTGTGTACAGTGTGGGCGAAAACAACGCAGGGCGAAGAGAGAAAGGGCGAGCACTAGGAAGGCGGGACGGGGGAGAAGGACAATAGAAGGCGAGGAAAGGGCACTAAGAACGTTAGAGAGGAAACGAGGTTTCTCTTCCCCTCCCCGGTCTTCTTAGCGCTTGCCCTTTCTCCCCTCGTCTGGCGTTGCTTCCGCGTGTGATGCACGTAACCAGTGACACGGAGTATAGTCATTCTTTGAGAGAAGAAGCGAATAACGTAGTTAAGTTACTTTTTATGGAGCGACGGTAACGGCATTTCGTTACTTCTGGGAAGAAACGACTACGACAGAAGTTACCCCCTGTTTGATTTTCATCCCAACATGCGCCTTTGGCATTCGCGGCAAAAAAAAAAAAAAAAAAAGCGCCAGCAAGAGATTAAGAAATTAGGCCCATGAATGCGTTGAAAAGCCAGAAATTATTATTGACATAAAATATTAAAGCCCTTTTGGAATCCCAAAATCGCTCCCTTTGAATCTCAGTAACGAGTAACGTAGTTACTTTTTTAGCGAGTAAGGAATAGTGGAATTTAACTGTTTTTTTTTTCAGTAACACGTACGTGTTTGCTTTACGGAAACTCGGTCATTTACTCGTTGACTTTGTTCAATTAAAAATATCGGTTTTGTTGAGATTAGCGCAAACAATGAACACAAAGTGCGTCGGTACCCACTTGTCGTAGTCGAGGATGGTGTGTATGCGGTGCGCTATGGTGAGCTGCGTGCAGTGGGCGAAGGCGTCCCGAAGCGTTGCCTGGATAAGCCGATCCGTGTCGCCGTCCATCTGGGACGTGGCCTCGTCCAGCACCAGCAGCCGCGGCTTCCTCAGCAGGGCACGGGCCAGGCACACCAGCTGGCGCTGACCCACGCTGCACAGAAACGCAAAAAGTGCGCTGAAAGAAGGACGTCTCTCGTTCGAGGAAAAGAAGTTCACATGGTGTGCAGAGCAGAGGTTGGCATTTTAGGTCGCCCTCACTCACCCTCACCCTCACAGCCACACTCACCTAAGCCCCTCACTCACCCTCACCCTCACAGCTACACTCACCTTCAGCCCCTCACTCACCCTCACCCTCACAGTCACACTCACCTTCAGCCCTTCACTCACCCTCGCTGAACCTCACGGCCCTCACGCACTCACCGCCCTCACGGTCCTCACGCCCCTCACGGCCCTCACGGCCCTCACGCCCCTCAACGCCCTCATGCCCCTCACTCACTCATGGCCCTCACGACACTCACCGCCCTCACGCCACTCACCGCCCTCACGGCCCTCACCGCCCTCGCCGCCCTCACGGCCCTCGCCGACCTCACGGTCCTCACCGCCCTCACGCACTCATAGCCCTCACGCCACTCACCGCCCTCACGGCCCTCACGGCCCTCACCGCCCTCACGGCCCTCACCGCCCTCACGGCCCTCACCGCCCTCACCGCCCTCACGGGCCTCACCGCCCTCACCGCCCTCACGGCCCTCACGCACTCACAGCCCTCACGCCACTCCCCACCCTCACGCCACTCACCGCCCTCACCGCCCTCACGGCCCTCACCGCCCTCACGGCCCTCATGCCACTCACCGCCTTCACGCCACTCACCGCCCTCACGCCTCTCACCGCCCTCACGCCCCTCACCGCCCATGCGGCCCTCACACCCCTCACGCCCCTCACGCACTCATGGCCCTCACGCCACTCAGGCCAGCTTCAGATGGGGCAATTTCGCCCAGAAACTTTACGGCGCAACACCAGCAACACGGGCCGCCCGCGATCACACGCAGCAACCAATTGCTGCAATTTGCCATCGCCATCATAAAAATTTTTTTTTGCACTATTTAGACAGAATTACGCGTTATAAACGTGTTTTTATGCATTTAAACCTCGTTAAGAATACTAATGCACCTTTCTGAAACAGTTTATTTCCAAAAAAACGATCGATTTCAAACCAGAACCAAGTCATTCGGTGTCATCATCACCGGCACGAGGTATCACGTGAAACTTTTGCGCCCCTGACTGGATGCAGCCGCTTCAAACGTATTCGAATTGCTCCGAGTTGCTTGCTTATTTCGAGCCGGACCCGATCTCAGCAATTCGTGTCGATCTAGGGAAAGCTAGAGAACAACCCGCCATTAACACCAAAATTGCTGAGAAAGATGCTCGATCTGAAGGGGGCCTCACGCACTCACCGCCCTCACGCACTCATGGCCCTCACACACCTCATACACTCACCGCCCTCACGGCCCTCACGGCCCTCACGCCTCTCATGCCACTCACTGCCGTCACGCACTCATGGCCCTCACACCCCTCACGCACTCACCGCCCTCACACCACTCACGCACTGATGGCCCTCACGCCACTCACCGCCCTCACGCCCCTCACGCCCTCATGACCCTCACCGCCCTCACGGCCCTCACCGCCCTCACGGCCCTCACGGCCCTCACAGCCCTCACTCACCCTCACAGCCCTCACTCACCCTCACACTCATGAATTTTCCTGGTTCAGAAACTCACTCACCCTCACCTCACCTGTGAAGCTGAGGGTGAGTGAGGGTGAGTGAGGGCCCTCATGAGTGAGGTTTGCCGAGGTATGGTGCAGAGACGGGTGCATATTTAGCATATGCAAACATGCTTGCCCGGATGGCGACTTCTGACCTTGTTAGACATAAACAAGGATGTTGTATTGCGCCCTACGCTTAGTGACATTATTATCCGCGTTTCAGGCGTTAAAGTTCTTTTTTTTTATTTAGGCTAAGAGAAGCTAATAATTTGAGTATCTCAATAATTGTGGTGTAAAATGTTGATATGTGTCAAATAGTAAAATCTTAGAAATATATATTTTCACTAGACAATAAATTGACGGGTCGTCGAACCACTTGCAAGTGCCCACCTGAAACTGGAGCCTCCATGTCCAGTGTCAAGGAGCAGCTGCTTAGGGTCCTTCGACACGACCTCGCCGAGATGAGCCTGGTAAAGCGCCGCCCAAATTTCTTTGTCGGTGTGGAAGCTTTTGGGGTCCAGGTTTTGACGCAGGGTGCCCCGCACCAGGATTGGGTCCTGGACATTGAGGCCCAAATGTTAAGCGAGAGTGATTAAATTTTTAAAGAACTTGAGACAAAAGAAACATCTTCGGTCTCCGACCCCCATGATAGGCACACCGCACCGAACTCTGTTTTTCGCACCGCGAAAATAAACTAGACTACCGCGGAGAACTCAAACCCCGTCTGAACGTAGCCCAAGCCATTCGAGCATGATGCCTAAGTGTCAACACTTACCATTACCGGTATAAAAACATAGAAGGGGGAAACTGTTTTCGTCTATGAGCGGACGCCGTCCGTGAGAAGCAGCAGGCTGAATGCCGCTGTTTGCGTTCGCATCTCACAGATGACGCCACTTACCTTCGGGGCTTCCCGCGCTCCCTCGTTTGTTTAACCCGAACGACTGGTGGCAACTTAAAGGTTCCTGACAAAAGTGTCGTATACTTGTCCCCAACTTTTTTTGTTGTTAACAGAAGGAAGAAAAAAAAAAAAAACACGAAATATAGAATTTGAAATTGCAGTCATTCGGGTTTTTGTTTTATGAAAAGGAAATTCGATAAATACCGAAGCAGACGTCGTCTGCTTCTGTCTTCACAAACGCCGAGAGTCATCTACGCGCACCTGCATTGATCGTTTATGTTCAGTTTTGTTTAATGATTAACTGGTGTTTCTAATGCAGCAGTTAACGCGCAAACGACGAAGTCAGGTCTTCCTGTGGTACGCTGAACTGGGAAGCTTTAAAAAGGTCAAGCGCAAGTTCTTCTTGGAGTTCGGCTTGCGGCCACCTTCCAAGTCGGTGATCTGGACGTGAGCCAGGCGCATTGCAGAAGAAAGTAGCCTCAAGAACAAAACGCACATCTTCCACGTTCTTCCACAAAAAGAAGAGCTCCGCTTCGCCATCGTCGCTGCCTCCGAGGCAGATCCCCAGTTGTGTCTGCGAAGAGCCGCACATTTTTTGGTATTCCAAGCGCACCCTGGGCAAAGCTATCCGCGAGAGGTGCTGTACAAGCTTTGCCTGATTCATGAGTTGTTGCCCGGCGACAACGAGAAGCGACTCGACTTTGGCCGGGATGAGCTCCTCAAGATTGCACAAGATCCATCACATCTGCGGTTCTTGCTGCTTAGTGGTGAGGCGCCATTTCACCTGGACGGGCAAGGTCAACACCGAGAACTGCCGCTATTGGAGTTCGACGAATCCGCACTGACGCTCGTAACGACTGTGCAGTCGCCGAAAGTAACAGTCTGTTGTGGAATCTCGAGAGAGCACGTCGTTGGTCCCTTTTTTTTTTCGACGGCAACGTGTCTGGAGAAACACATATCTGCAGATGATGCAGGATGGAGTTTTTTCCCGAGTGGGGAGCACTGTACACCCGCCGGTAATATAAAGGTGAACACCTTACCTGGTTTCTAGCCTGTTTTACGGCTCCCTAAAGCTATATTAACTGTCAACGTCTCAAATGGTACGTGGCTTGGGGTCTAAACGTTTCGTTCCAGCCCTCTTCTGGAACAGAGCTTGTTCCAAAACTTGCAGGAGCGTCAAAAACAAGAATAGGGCTGTTCACCTTCATATCGCTCACGGGTGTACATGCAGCGGGATGTATGCATTTTTATGCAAGATGAGGCGCCACCCCACTGGGCGACAAGTGGAAGGCACTTGCTGGACACCATCACTCCAGGACGCTGGATGGGCCGGGGATCACCGAAAAAGCCGTGGCCGCCCCGATCGCCAGACCTCACAATATGCGGCGTTTTCGTTTGCGGGTTTGTGAAGTCCCAGGTGTACAAGGGCCGCATCCCCACACTCGAGGCCTTAAAGGGGTACGGAAACGAAATGACGTGGCCGCGAGCTTTCTACCTCTTGCTTCAAAATCGTCCATTGAGTAGCACAATGCGTAACGCGCTCGTGACGTCAATGGCTCCTGCACGGCCAAGGCTACTGTAGTTGCTGGCGTTGCCGCTTGGTGGCGTCAACGTGTTACAACCTCGCCTAGCAGTAATTTCCGTAGCCTTTATGCCCTAAGGACTATACATAGCTTGACCGTAACGACATTCGCGGCTATGCCGGTAAATTATGTGCTACGAGCGTGCGGTTCACCGTGTTAGTCTCACACCGCAGATCGAGAGAACCAGTAATTGGAAATAACCGTCAGTAACCAGCAATGCTGAAACCTACAAGCTATGCATATGAGGGAGTGGTTCTCAACCGTTGATGTTTCGTGGACCCCTTGTCGATCTTCGGAGATGATGAAGGACCCCGTTCGTGGTGAAAGAAAGGGAAAGGTACAGGTTAATTATGAAAACGACCTAATGAATGAATATAACTAAGGGCTAGTGTGAAGTAGACTTCGCTCACTGACATAGAGAGAAGAAAAGTCACCCGAAAATCGGAATGTTTCCTCTGAACCTAAAAAAAAGACAAATTTGATTGCTTGATTTGACTAATGAGTCAGGGCTTCGTGGACCCACAGAATGCCTTCGCTGACCCCCATTTTAGAAACACTGATATAAGGTTTCACTGGGTGCCATATTTGAGCGCGTTGTTAACACAGCATCCTTCTGGGAGGAACGGGGGGGGGGGGGGGGTGCATGGTTGGTTCGACAGAGGTTCTCGCATAGTCAGATTTGGCTCCTGCCTAACTTCTGCAAAGAACGGTGATGTTGATGCTGAGGAATTCACCTTGCGGAAGCACTGCGGAAGTTAAAATATACAACGTATTAGAGACATCAGCGTTCTCCGTCAAGTAACATTCAGGACTGAGTAACTCCATGAAAGTGCCGTACTGCCGTGAGCTGGCTCTGCTTCCTTGAGCCCGATGACGTGGCGGCACCCCAACGGAGCTTTACAGACTGCCACCGTGCGCAATCACATTCGTTTTAAAATTACTTTTCTTGACTATAACATAAGACCCCATCTAATAAAAGAAATAAGAGCAACCATTTCGTTTCCGTACTCTTTAAAGCGGCGCATCGAGGCTACGTTCGCTCTCATCACGGACAACATGCGAGCTGCAGCAGTCGGAGGGTACGAGACCAGGCTTTTCCTTTGTACTTGGCGCCTAGGAGGCCACGTTGAGGTCCTGGTTCCGATTGAAATAGAGGCATAGGGCCCTGCCTAGAACTGATCTGACAGCAGCCTACGGGACGAAGTACGGTTTATTTATTTTGATACCCTGGCAAAGGCCCCTCTCAGGGCTGCCAAAAGCCGTTGTCACGGGACACTCTTGTCGCGGCTGCTCTTCCGTGTCTCTGAATCCTCATGAAAATAGATTCTTTGTTTGCACCCTCTTTTCTTCTCCGCTATCACTCCCTTTGTTACCTTCATATTATGCAGTCAGGTGTGGCACACTATCTTCAACCTGTAAATCAGTGAAATGCTCGGGTGACAACAACAAAAATGCTAAGCCAACTGGTGAAGCAACTAAAATTCCTTATTTAGGTTAAACATAGGCGTAATACAAATACACAATTTAGCGAGCCTAACATGGGTTAAAAAAAATCTAACAACAACCTGAAATTGTATCAAAACCGAGACGAGAGAAACGATGCGTCGGTTCTTTGCAGCAAACCGCCAGTCAGAAACCGAAACTAACCAAAAACCCTTGGCCGATGGAAGCGCCATCTGTGAGATGCTGTGGCAAACAGCGGCATTCCGTCTGCTGCTTCACACGGACGGCGTCCTCTCATAGACGTATACAATTTTTCACTTTTAACATTTTATTCCGCACTGGTAAGTGCTGAAATATTGGCATCTTTCTCGAACAGCTTGGTCTACGTTCTGACGCAGTTTGAGCTCTCCGCGATGTCGAGTATATTTTTGAGGTGCGAAAACCAGGTTTCAGTTTTTTTTGCGGACATCCTGTACATCATACGAGATAAATTCAAAGTGCGCATGTTGTGTCTTTGTTGAACGAGGCGTAAAATCCTGGCGCCGGCACACGGAAAGTTCAAATGTTTACCGAATGTGGATGTGGTGGATTTTACTTTGTGAAACTTTAAGGAGCAGTCCTCTTTCTGTAAGAATGCGAGCAATAAACTTGCCTAAGTCAATGTTGGAGGTGTTAGCAGACGATTAAGTTAACGATGAATATAACTTGTGGCTCCATCTCCCGATAGATGTAGCCCGCGGACGAAACAGCCTGTTGTCTGCTCGCTGTGGTCCAATCCCCAACACTGCCAGTTTTCATCTGGATTAGCATCGTACTTAGCAACAACGCTATAAACGGCAAATTAAGGTTACGACAAAACCAATATTCACTATTTTTCGCACTCTTCAATGAGGTGACGTCACAGGTGTAAATTTCAAGTCAAGCAGGCATTGTCAAAACACTGTATTTTGCAGTTTTTTTGTTTTGTTTTGCTGGCGTGAGCTTTTCATGGATTATTTTAGCCCAATCAAAATTCTTGTCACCCGTCGGGAGCAAGCTTTACTTTCCAGATAATGCAACACTTGACGTCTAGATGGATTGATTCATGAAAGGATGGATTGATGCTAACGGGGGGTAGCTTGCGTCATCTAGCCTAGAAACCAAAAGTATTATTCATTCCCTCACAGTTCTAAGCCAATTTTCTTCCCCTCTGATCTTTTCAATCACCCGGTAGTGCAAGATAACTCCGGAATGACCCATGGGGTGGGGGGCAAAAAAATGTGTTTGACGTCACGTTTACGTGTTGCCAGCAGAGATTCTCAGCTTCACGGAGAAAATTTGAAAATCCAGAGAGTTCGGGAAAATACTAACCGTGATTTGTAATTTGTGTGACTATTTTTAATGGGTCTGTCGACGTTCAACCAATTTTCAGGGAAATCAGTGTCCATAAAATTTCGCAGGAGCTTTGAGTTTTGACAATGCAATATGAACGAAACAAGGATTTAGAACTGCCGTGTCACAGGGCATGTAAAGACGTGCCTGTGGAATGACGGTGACCCCAGTGCGTAGTTTCCTCAGCGGGACGCGTGCAATGTCCAGGCCATCGATGCGGACGCAGCCCTGGGAACTCTTGAGCACACGGAGCAAGGCCAGGACTAAAGACGACTTCCCGGCACCGGTGCGACCCACCACGCCTACCTAAATTTACGATCGAGATGAACGAGGCAGAATAGAGCGGGCTGTTTCCCAAGAAGTATATTGCACTGCGCACATGCACAGTGTTGCATTCAAAAGTGAAGCGCAGGTATAAGTTATGTGGAGTTTAACACATCGTTTGTTTGTATGTAAGGTGTGTATTATAATAAGACATAAAATCAAATAAGTGAAGTAGACTGTTTCCAGCAAATAGCTTGTTTTTTTAGAGATATTCGTGGTGCGCGGAGCGCAAGTTCATCAGCGTTAATGCAAGCGCAAGTCGTAACAGCAAGCTTTTATCGCCCGATTGAAGAAAAAAAAGTGAGTAGACCTTAAGGCATCTAGCATTGTGGTCTACTCAAAATCCTCTCAATCAGAGCCAATCAGAGCTCGGCGTTGTTCTGACGTCACCGAAACTCCTGCGCAAGAAGCAAACGACTTGCTCTCTGCATAAAACTAAGTTGAATATGAAAAAACAAAAATCCGAAGTCCTTACTTTCTCAGCAGGGTGCACAGTGAACGTAATTCCCTTGAGAACGTCCGGCAAGACCCCAGGCTTGTACGACGCAAAATAGGAGACAAACTCTACCTTGCCTTCCAATGGCCACTCTGCTGCATTTGTGGAATTTATGCTGAAGTCATACTCTTTCTTGCCAGGCTCAACTTGGCTCTGCTTAAACAGAAACATTAATGGGGTTAATGGGTGCGTTAAGGGAATATATTAGCTTCGGACAAAATAAAATCCCATCTACGTCCCAACAATTTATGCAGGAACAAATGGCTAACAAGACGTTTGTTTTTTATATTCTACTCACTTTTTGTCTATTTCACTCAGAACTGGTAAACGATATTCATTGGAAACTCGAAGAAAAAAAAATGGAACTAATTCACGATAAAAAAAGTGAAAGCCGTTTACAAAATGAAAGCCGTTTACAAATCCCTGTAACGCCGAACTGGAGCGCAGCTCTTGAGGAGGAGTAGCGAAGGGTACCGAGGGGGATCACGTCACCTGCGGGTAGTCACGTGACCCCGGGGGGGTCACGTGACCTCGGGGGTCCGCGAAGGGGGGGGGTCACGTGACCCCCCCCCCCTTTCTTCGCGGACCCCCGGATACGCCGACGCCGACGCCGACGCCGCTCAGGCTGGAAACGGGCCCCTAAGAGCTGCGCTCTAAAAGGAACGCAACCTTGTGCGTGTTGCGCCACGGTGCGGCTCGTAGCTGAAGCTTTTCACATAGACATGGTGCGCATCAGCCGACTTCAGTGTATAATAAGTGTCTGCTTACCCGAACGCACCGCTATACAAAACGTTCCTGAACACAGTTCCCGCTAACTGATTTTACGCAAGACCTGGGAATCGAGAGCACAGAACCCCTCCACGCGCTGGCGAAAACAGCCGCAATTTTCTTCATCCCAGTACGCCTACTCAATCCACCACCGAGAGAGGAGAAATATGATGATAAGATGAGCGAGAAATACGTTTTGCGTAGATTTTATAAGTCAGTGGCACCGATGAATGTCGTCGCGTAGTGATTTTCACACTGTCGAACACACAAGCGCTTTGTTTTTATCGTTGCCACTTATAACAATTCCAGCAGGTCAAACGGCATGCGAATATACACAGCTATGTTGAACGCGGGTAAGTTTTAGACGGTTAAATTGCGAAACGTTTTTTTTAGAGTGAGGCCAAGAAAAATGGCCGTGGTAGGTTCAGACGTTGTTAAGACTCTGCGGACGCCTTAGAACAGGTCGGGGCGTTCAGCTCTTCACTATCCGACGTAGCGCGGACGCTGTCGTTAGTGGCGTTGCCAACCAGCTGCCAAAGCGGAGCGATGTGCCCCATTTCGGTGTCGCACGCGTCCCACAACCTGGTAATATAGGCAACACCGCCTAGAAAAAATCGAGGCCTGTGGAGAGCCTCCAAGTAACGCCATCCCTCTCAAACGGCGCCAACGCGTCAATTAGACCGGAGCCCAAAGACGGGCGCAATGACTGGACCCGAGGTCCATGCCAAAGGCTGACACGGGCCTCGCGTTCACTCTGCGCCTTCGCTCGATCTCCCTGTGATGACGCCCAAATGCGCAGGTTTTGCAGCACAGTAATGAGTTGGGCCACTTGGTGTTGCAATTTTAAAGGGTAAAAACAGCGCAAAGAAGACACGGACAGAGAAGGCATATACACACAAAGCCCTTTGTGTGTGTATACCTTTTAAAGCGCAGGCTTTGATTACTCTTGGTGGTGCTAGTCTAGGACAGTAGATATTAAAAAAAAGAAGAAGAGGGATACGTATGCTTGAAAAAGAGGAAAACAAAAATGTCGTTTTCACACTTTGTTGGGACTTAAAAGTATCGGATGTAACAATGCTGATAAAAATTCGAGAGTTTCAGACCAAGTCTGAACCTAACCAAGTCTAACGCACGTAATAGCACCGAAATTCGGCGCGAACTTTAGCGCAAGTTATGCAGCGGAGTTTGAGATTTGTTTCTCCCGGCGAACCGGAATAAAAATTATCTGGCTCTGTAGAGTTACCAAGATACATTAACGGCCTCTATTTCGCATACATAATGCCAAAGCACAAAACCTCGCTTTTTTTTTCTGTTGCGTATAACTTTTTAGTTTTGTTTTGAGGTGAGAATACGAAGAAAGCGCTCGATTGGTTGTCTACGCTCGCGTCGCCTCGTCAAGAGCACTCTCAACCACAGTGTCAAACTCGAACCCGAACCATAAATCGGATCAAAACTGTTTTATTTTTGACAGTAACATCGTATTTGACCGTAGCGGAACAAAACCGTATACCTGAAATCGAACATTCAATATTGAACCACCGCATAGTATGATGTATGGTTACCGGCCTCTGGCCACAATATACGGAGCGCAAGTTCATCTACTTGTTGCGCTGGGGGCAACGCTATTAGATTAGCTCAGTTACGGAACTGCTCATAGACGCCGCATGCACCTGCATGCACTTACTCACAACGACTCGCATCCCGTCGTTCGACAGCCCGGCGGCTGCAACGGTAACTATACTGTGTATTCTATGGATTATGTACGTTTCGAAGCGCAGCGTCTAGATGGCCTTCCACCGTACACTAAAAACACAGTTTGTAAACGGAAATCTAGATGGCGCTTCGAACGACGGGAGGCGGACTGAAGTGAGTGAGGGGGGTACACCCTTCCGCGGGAGTTCCACAACTGAGGTAATCTAGTAACGATCGCTGGCGGTTGCAGTGACGTCAGAACGCCGAGGTCTGATTGGCCCAATTTGAAAACTAGAGCGTAGACCCATAGAGTTATTATAATGTACGCTAGAGGTTCAACTGGCGCTAGTGTCTATGCGACTTCCGGGAGGCAAATTGAAGCAGACAGCAACCAGTCTACTTTTGCGGTGCTCCTGTGCATTCCTATGGGAAAACGCGCGTGAATTTCGCCTCTTCGCCGGAAAAGAACACGAATAACTTATTTCGGTTGTACCGGATAGTATGTACCTTTATTGATATAGTGAATGTGTAATTGCTTTAGTTACAGCATTTTTCTTTACTACTGAACGATGTTAAACTTCGCTATATTTCAGGCCCAAACCTCTGTTCCATGGCAGGTATACGTAAAAATGAGTGACGATTCTAAGCAAAATAACAATTGAAAGGAATGTAGAGTGCGTTCAAGGTTCGCTAGCATTCCGGTGCTAATATGCCCGTTCTGTCACTCACTATATGAAAATGACTCCGTCGTGCATCTTGACAATCTGTTAAAAAAATAAAGTATGTGGGCTACGAAAGGTGCGTCTTTTCATTATTTCTTATGTCGGGCAGTTTTAATCAGGCACCTGTTCTCTGCTTTTTCCTATTTGCAAAGATTTGGAGCGTGCGGCTGATGATTTGAACCCAGAATAAGCATCTTCGCACATATTCACGAGCAGAAAGAATAAAGCAGTACTTATTTATTGCATGTCCGACTACTAGTATATTACGTGGCTTTCAATTTATTTTGATCGTCTGCATGCATAAGGAGTTACTTATCTAGTGTTACTGCGTAGTTCTTGCCGTCTCTCTTGGTTTTTCACATGTAATTCGTTCGTTTCGGCACGTATATCTCCCATGCTGGAAAGCGCCGACGCCGCGTTCGCGCTAACAGTGTCCGACAGTGCACATAAATACACGTACGAAGCGGTTTTAACACCGTTTTTCATGCTACGAATTTCAAATAAAAATGCTGTAACTGACCAGTTATTTCGTCTGCATGAATGAGAAATGTTCCAATGTGCCTTGTAAGTACAAATTATTCGTGATATTTGCTCTTATAATCGAGCGCAGAGAGAAAATGCACTTGCTTTTTCCCATAGAAATGCATTACCGGAAGTCAATTTCGGACTGGTTGCTGTCTGCTTCAATTTGCAGCAGCACACTAGCGCCAGTTGAACCTCTAGCGTACATGATAATAACTCTATGCGTAGACCTCAGGGCAGCTGGCACTGAGGTCTACGAGTTATTGTTCCAACCAGAGTCAATTAAAACTCAGCGTTCTGATGTAACCACAACCACTGCGCAAGAAGCAGACAAACTTGCGCTCCGCATATGAGTCTCGCCCAGGGTGTAAGATAGACAGGTGGGGAAATGCCCCATAGAAGCCTACCGCAGCGCCGTGACCGGATTGTGTACTCGTCTGCTTGCGGGTACCCCCGATTTGCGACAGATGGCGCTGCGGCGAGAGGAAAAAAATTGGAATCGGATTTGCGTGGAACTTTATGGGAGAGTGCGCAAAATAAACCGAGAGGACGACATTCCTTTAATGAAAGTCCACGAGAAATTATCTCCGTCAGTTTAGCCGGTCGCCACCGGTCGCCCACTCGGAGTGAGGGTTCGCGGTGCTCCACATAGATGGCGCCACAGAAAAAGAGAAAACCGAGGGGGACACAATGCGGTCACTCATTTGGCTCTCGTTTCCCCACCTGTCTATTTACACCCTGGTTTCGCCTGCCATCGCGCTTATTGTGCGACGACGCAACGCGTCGACGGCGGCGCTGACAGACTGGCGGCGACGCTGAAACGCGGACGGCGAGGCTGCGTAAGCCAACTAGTGACTACGTTGGGGAGGAAAGGGGCAGGTCATGAGTTGGAAGTGGGACACCGCGGCCGCTTTTCGCGGGATCTTCCATTCCACACTTTGCTCACACCTAGAACGCGACTCGTCCTGGCTTTATCCCTCTCTTATCTTCCTGCGCCTCCGGAGAGAAACGCAAAGACCCCGGGTGTGAGTGTGAATACTCAGGTTAGTAACACAAACAAACAAACATTTATACTGAAATTTTAAAAAGGCAGGTTGGGCTGGGAGCACGTGCAATGTCGACGAAGCAATATCTCTTCGGACGCAAATTCGAGTGGGTACGCCATTTGACATTCTAAAGCTCCATCTTCTCTCCAAAAGGATCGGCAATGCAAGTTTACAGACCTGCAGGGCACGAAATGTTTAGCGCGATCCTATGCGCGGACTTATCTCATTTTTACCATTTTGTGGCCGCTCTCCAATTTGTTGCAGCCCAGCAGGCGACTTGGGCAAATGTGGACTCAAAATATTTTTCTGCCGAGTTAGGTAAACTTGTTTTTGTAACCGAAATTTTCCCCTCAGTGCTTAACACTAGCATACCATGTAATGCGTAGCAGTCTTTATATACGGAGGGCAAGTTCGTCCTCTCCCCGCGCACCTTGTTCGCGAGGAGAGGACGAATCCCCAAGTCTGTCCCACACCCCCCTCCCTGCGACCACAAGCAATAACGGCGCATGCTTAGTTGTCTCGTCATCGTGCATTTCCTACGCGTCATCGATGTTGTCCTTTGATCAACGTGCTCCTGCCGGTACGTCGCTTCCTCTTGTTCCTAACTGCGTGGTAAAAGGTGTTCGCCGTCTTTTTTGGGCGCTTGCTATCCTTATCTAGAGCAATCAAGCCCGGGGAACGCGTCATGATCCTGCCATTCTTTTACAACGGCGCTGTTAAGGGCTAGTTTCCCGATTATTGTGTCCGTCAGCACACAAATGATCACACGAAATTCTAGACAGCTACCGCCATCTATGAGCGACGGCGGCAACCAGACAAACGGCTTGCCGGTTGTCTGGTTCCCGCCGTCGCTCATAGATGGCGTAACCTTTCCAGCCTTTCCACTCTGGCTTGCCGACTTGCGGCCGGCCATCACTTCACTCCTACCATAGTACAGCTTCGCTGGTCTTCCTTCACCACGGTGGAAAGGCTGAAAGATTTTTCTTTTTGTGCGAGATTTGTGTGTTTGGTTATTAGCAACGCACAAAGTAAACTTAGTCCCACGACGACGGACCTTTGGAGCTATTTGATTGGCCTCATTGCATATTACAGCGTCTGCTGCGGTCGAACTTAATGAGAAAGGGAGTACAATGTGTGGCGACAATCGTTTTTGTATACCGGAAATTTAGAGTCAGCGGGCTAGGTTATTCGGTCATTTCGTAGCTTACCTCTGGCGGAAGTTCAGTGTACTCGATGCAGCGCTCGAAGCCTACCACAGCTTGAAGTGAAAAGAACATCATGAGGTTCAAGAAGGACAGTGTTTGCAGGAGCTACGAAAAAAGGGGGGAAATATGGATAAGGTAACGTAATGATGCGAGTGCAAGTGTTATAGATACAACATTCCTTGTAGAGCGTAGCGTTAAAACGCCAACACAATAAGTGGCGACTTTAATAAAGTGTGTCCGGGTGGCCAGATTAGAATATATACGACCGGACCAGCTTGCCCGTAAAATATTAAAATCATTGAACTGAAGCTCCACCTATTTTAAAATTAAATATGCTACTTCGTGATACAAAGACAGAAATCGGGTCAAGATCACAACAGTGACCGATCTGTAGAAAGCGAGCTGTAAATTAGCATATGCGCGTGGCTATGGTTTGTGAAAATAAGGTTGTAATAAGGACAAACCTTTTTAGCAGTGTTCGGTGCTGGGCTAGTTTTTTAATTGTGCTTTGAATATACTGCGCTGAAAAGGGTTAAAATAGCAACACTGAAATGAGAAAGACAATGCGACATACAGAAATACGCGCAAATGAAATACTGTATTCCTTTCTTGAGGACTTCTACTTGCACCTTTTTTATGTCGCGTTGCCTTTCTCGTATCAGTGCCGTTATTTACAATCCTTCGCAGCGTAAATTAATCAAAGTACATACTGTGGAAACCTTCCTATCTGGGCCTAGCTCAGGCAAGCCGTGGGGCGTCGCCATGTCGGGGCGCGTGCCAGGTGCGAGGCGAGAATGCATTCCCGTGCGGACGGCTCTCCCTCGCCCTTATCGGGTGATTTGCCGAAGGCACACCCCTCAGATCCTGAAATCAAAATCCTGAGGGGTGTGCCGATGGCACACCCCTCAGGATTTTGATTTGGAGTGTACCTTCGGCACACCTGAGGTGTGCCGAAGAGGTGTGCCGAAGGCACACCCCTCAGGATCTCGATTTTTGTACGCGTCCGCCCCTCCGGGGAGTCAACCTACATCCCACCACAGCGGGCGCGTCCATTCCCGCAGGCTAAGGCGGCCGAATCCAACGGCCAGGAGCGACTCTCGTTGGGGGAATCTCTGCTCGACGGAGCCTTCCTTTTTTTATCTGATCCTCCCCCTCCGTGATACTGTCAACAGCGGCAGCACGAACTCCGACTGGCGATCCTGTCAAAAAAGACAGCGCCGTTATCTCGGATATTGTTGCCCTCGGGCATACGTGTGGCGTTATCGCCAAATAAACACGTCATTATCCGGACCATAAGAACGTTCTGTGCTTCTAAGGGGTAGGAAAGGTGAAACTCACGATATATATATATATATACGTATATATACCCTGCCGAAAACCACGACCCCGCGACCAGTGCATAAAAACACACATGGTGTTGAAGGCGGTATTAACAACGTCCAGCAGGCCAGCAGTGGAACAATCAATTGTGTGTGGGAGGAGGGGGGGGGAGGGGGGAGGAAGGCGGAGAAATACAACTACCACGCCCTACAAAAAGAAAAAAATTTTGCTGGGTATGTTTCTGGAAATATGTAAATACAGTCAGGTCTCGTTAATATGGACCCCATTATTATGGATACCCGGCAATATGGACAATAATTTCGGCGACAAACTGGGAACATAGTTGCATTTTTGTCTCGTTAATATGGACAACGACGATTTTTGGTGGGAACGGAGGTGTCCACATTAACGAGACATCACTGCATATTGATTCCCATTGCGTGTGAGTTGCTCCTAATTACAGAATAAAGTAATTTATTATATAATGATTGCTCAAAATATTAGGACAAAGGAAAGAGAAGTGAGACAGGACGAAATGCTACTCACAACTGATCCTTTAAAGTAAAGGAAAGCAATGAAGCGAAAACAGTAAATATTTAATTGTGAGTTTGTCCTGTCCCATTCTTCCTTCCTGTTTTAGTCTTTTGCACTATAATTTTATAATGAATAACAAACTAACCCAGCAGCTAATTTTAAGAATTTATTCTGATAAATGTTGTTTATTATTGACTAATTTGTAATTGTAATATACCCGACAAAGGTTATGGGAAGTCGTATGTTATACGAGTAATGCAGGTGTTCTTAGGCTTTACAGATTTGTTTACAAAAAAAAAGTGAAACCTACAGTAGTGTTTTTCGTGCAAGGGGCTTTACTGGGAGGGGGATAATATTGGATTATAAATTTATTTAAATTTATCGTTTATCTTACCTGAAGGCCTTTTATTTTACCTTTATTTTTTATTGTACCTTCTACCATAAAGAGGAGAGAGCTGTAATCAGGGCATACAAAATATGCGAAATACAAAGAAAAAAATTAGAATATGGTACACTGAGGATGAAGTATTGAAATGATGAAGAACGAGGCGAAGGACGGGAAATGTGCAATTTTATAGAAGAGAAAGAGTCACCCAGGTCTATGGTGTGACAAGCAAGGATGGGAGAGAATTAGAGTCGCAGATGGCTTGTAAAAAGAAGTGGTCGATTAAGAGTGTTTAGAGGATCAGAAATGCGTTTGATTGAGCAGACTTTGTTAAGGCGGCAGGTTGTTCGGTTAGCGATGCATTTTTGAGCTTGGGGACGTGGTGGTAGGTTTTGTGAGCAAGGCATAGCTAAGAGACCTTTACACGAAGCTGCAAAAAGGACATGGTTAATTGATATTTTAGCGCTGAGACATTGAAAGAAAGATCACAAGTGGACAGGAAGAAACTAGCAGCTCTTGTATAGAGATCCCCGATATGAAGAAGCACACGAAGTACACGCATCGAATACCACATGAAGGATGAACAGTCGGTTTTTTCCACCGTAGACAACAACGACGAAGCGGTGGCGCTCTCTGTTAATAATGTTAAAGTTATCGCCAGTGCCATCTGTACCTTAACATTACCCCTTTAAGAGGTGGTTCGTCAATCACACACAAATTCACAAGTTCAGTCTTTTAGGAGCCACAACTCGTCACCAAGATCTTGCTCGTCGAGGAGAGTGGACCCCTTAATTGGCTTGCACCCGACTTGAGTAGGTTCGCTGACTTGCCCTCTGATACTCCGGAACTGAGATTGAGCTGTCACTTGAAACTGGTTAGCCAGAAACTGGCTGCCCAGGAACTGGCTGGACAAGAAAAGGCTGGTCAGGAGCAGGCTTGCCCACAAGCGGAACAAGGTGCCGCCGCTTTCGCAGCAGCACCCCTCCCGGGGTCTCCACCACGTAGGAACGTAAGCGCTGCGCCCCAGTGAGTGATTGGGCAAAGCACTGTTTGTCCGCGATCCCCAACTTTTCACCTGACGAGAGATCTCTCAGCTGGCGCAGTCCGTGGCGACGGTTGAAGTGCGCAGCCTGGCGCTGCTTTGGTGTGCTGTTCCTTTCCAGGAAATCTTCCAGTTTTCGCCATTCAGGTAAGAGCCTCTCGGGATCCTTGGGTACCCCTGTTCTCAGCCGCCTACCTATGAGCAGCGTCGCAGGGCTAGAACCCAGGACTCCCGGAGTGTCACTGTCCTTTGTCGCCCTCACTGCCCGCTTGACCTCTCTGCTCGATTGTGGGAAGCCTGGGCTACTGGTGACATGCCTAAATATTCTTCTGCAAATCTCGCGAAGTCATGGGAGGCGAATTAAGACCAATTTCGCTCCGCAGTACATTAGGGATGCCCAAGCGTGCCATGTAACTCTTCATTGCTGAAATCACAGACTTGCCGACAGTGCTCCGCAGTGTCAGCACCTCGGGATGGCGTGAATTATAATCCACCAGAAGTAGAAAATCTTTTTAATTGAGGTGAATCAGATCCACTCTTACCTGGTGCAATAACTGCTTCAGCTCCCTGTGCCCTTGCGGTTGCACAACGCTCGAACGCCTCGACCATGATCTCGACCTGGTTGCCTATGCTGCGCCATCACACTGAATCCCTTTCTCGTGCCTTGCACCGGTTTACGCCTTGGTTTCTCTCGGGGAGAGCTTGCAAGACCGCGGGTCGCGGTGATGCCGGGATCACCATACGTCCTCTTGAGGAGCATGTTGCAGACAGTGAGCTCCCCGCGGAACTTCCAGTTCTGCATCACGTGATCTGGAACCTTGGTTTTCTGAGGCCAACCCTGATCACAGTACTTTGGCAGTTCCGAACATTCGCCGTCGAACGCCTGCTGCGGACGGACCTCTTCCAGACTGAAGGGCACACCTTCTTCTACTGAGAGAACCGCGGTCTCCACGTACAACTCAAGTCTGCCACAAGTCGCTTGAGCCCCCTTGACCAAAGGCGCACGAGACTGAGTATATATCGACCGTTGTAAGGAGTTTTCTCCTAGAAAACCCCTTACAACTGAATAGAAAATCCCGTACGGGTAAAGCATCAAGTGGGTCCACACTCTCTGTATTTGAGGTGGAAAAAGACCGACGTCCACCTAGCCTTGCAAAACCGTCAAGGGCTGGTGATCAGTCTCAACAATAAACTGCAGTCCTCTGGCATATTCATTGAAGCCCTGAACTGCCCAGGTGACTTGATAGGTATCTGTAGCAGTCTGGTTGTACCTCTATTCGGTTGCAGTGAGTGACCGTGAAGCAAAGGATACTTCCCGGCTTTCGCCTGACGGTTGGTCTTGACTTGTGGAGCAGAACTGCCTCCAAACCAAAGAAACTTGTGTCCGCAGTCACGATGGTTGGCCACTCTCGGTGATGGGGAGGTATGAAAACGTCTGATGAAAGCATGCTATTCACCTTGAGAAATGCGGCCTGCTGACTGGGACCCCACACCCGGGCACTCTTCTTGCTTAACAGCTCACAAGTCGGAGCTGAAACTTCGGACAGAGGCAGCAGGAATCGTCCCACATGATTGACCATACCAGCATTCTGCTAGCGCCTTCGACATCAACTGGCGCTTCCATTTGCGAAACCGCTTGTACCCTGTCCAGATCCTGTAAGAGATCGCTTTGGCCAACGACCATTACCCAAACTTCACGCTGGTGACGCCGAACGTGCACTTGGACCTGTTTAGAGTCAAACCCGCCTGGTTCAAACGGTCAAGCCTATCCATTAGGTGCCTGTCATGCTCCGCACAATCCTGGCCAAAAACAAGGATGTCGTCAATTATATTAAGCACTCCATCCCGACTCTCCAGGATATAACTCATTTGACATTGGAAATTCTCTGGCGCGAACGTGGTATCGAACCGCAATCGGCAAAAACAGAAACACCCAAACGGTGTAAGGAACGCCGTGAGTTCCTTGCTCATTCGCTCGAGAGCTTCAACTAATGGAAACTCGATGTTGCATCCAGTTTAGAAAATACTTGCATCGCCAAGAAGTCTAAGCAGCTGGTCAACCGTCGAGTGTGTATGACGTTCGCGCAGAACCTCCTTGTCAAGCCGCATCACGTTCACAAACATGCGGCAACGGCCAGATGCCTTCGGTATCACGACTATGCCGACCCACTATGGTGCCGGCTTCGAAGCTTTTCGGATCACCCCTTGGGCTTACATCGCGCGACGCAGCAGAGGCTGATTGCACTATCTCTCCACGGGGCGCGGTGCCACCGGGGCCGAGATGCGCTCCGATAGCAAAGCGAAACTTAAAAACCCGTCGAATTTGTGCGGTTTTCCAGAAGGCCGTAAAATGCTTCGCGTGCTTTCTATCGCTGTGCAGTTTGTTGATTTAGTGTTGTTTCATGCTGCTGAGCAATTTTCTAATTCAAACCATGCCCTTAAACACGATATTAAAAAAAAGTTAATTACGCGCAAATAATAAACAACTTAAATATCCCGGACTTCAACAATTTTCCTAAATAGGCCCCTGGCTCGGGACCAAAACGACACTAGCCTTTTTTTTTGTTGTTGTTGTTGCGACCAGCAGTTATTGAAATATCGAATTTGTCCACGTTTCGCAAAACACCCTGTATATCAAGTGCTCCAGGTCCAATAACTCACCTGCATAAACCGTATTAAAATAGCTTTCACGACTTTATAAAAAAAAAATCTGTAAAATTTAAAAGGACACCCTGCATATTATCTATGTATATTTAAAACAACGCCCAGCATATTCAGTTCCGTTCATATCTTCAGGAACACAAAATGCCAAATAGCTCTGCTTTCAACGGCATTACAAAAACATTAATAACAGTCGCATATACAAGACTTACAGTTTCGAAAAGTCACATCAAGTAGACCATAAGATTGCCGGATTTTGCGGAAGGAATCTTTCGTAATTCCATTTTCTCTGACCGAACATCCGCGTAGAGCCTCGGTTCGCTAGAGAATAATCCTGGTTCGATCTTTGGCATGCGAACACCGCGCACCTTTGACCATCACATTGCAACGCCCACTTCTTGTTAGCAAGTGAAAGAAAGAACCAAGGAGTGCACTGGATCTCACCAGTGAGGCAGCACCGATGGTGAGCCCGAGAATGCTCGGATCTGGTTGCGAGTCTTCGGGACTGGGCAGAACGGCGAACAGCATCGTGCAGACCATAGTCACAAGGCCGCACAAGAAGGTCACCAGACGCACGTAGCGGAAAAGGCCACAGAAGGCCGAGTAGGCGCGGATGTTGACGTCCACAAGGCGACAGAAGTGGTACGAAAAGCGATCCAGCACGCCGTAGGCGCGAATGCTGCTCAGGGAGTCCATGGTCTCGGTCACGTGGGATAGTATCCTGGACGTGTGGACTGCCTCACGAAACTTTGGGAGATGCGAGGCTCTCACTGCAAGCCTCTGCGAGGAGACAAATATAAGATCAGCTTCCTTTGCGTAATATTTTTAGCAAATGTTTGTCTTCAAGTAATCAGGGAAAGTTTTGTTGCTAAGGAATCGTGCAGTTTCATAGCGCAGAAACATTCACCATGCGACAAATAGCGCTAAAATCAAATGGGCAACCGGTAGCAGCGCGCAAAAAAAAAAGAACGTCAGTCGGCATTTGCCAGTTTCTGATAAAACTTACATTTCAATTTTCAAAAAAAAAAAAAAAAATGATTAAGCACAAAAAACAGCAAATAAAAATACAAAGAGAGATTCTAATGGAAACCACGAAGGAGTGCTCCTCTCATTTCTTCCGTTCGAACGTGTCTTTTCTTATTTTTTTTTGTTGTTGTTTTCTGGCAGCCTAATTTTATGCTGCTCTCTTTCTTTTTTTTTTTCGCCAAGCGAATTCCGGACCAATTTCTTGACTTTTTCTTTGTTTTGAACTGAGCCAATGTTGCTAATTTTCACGGTGCCTGATGTCGCATTTAAGGGGCTTTGGTTGGGTGCAAGTCTATTTTGTCTGCGAGCAGTCAATAGTTTGTCACATTGGCCGTCTTTAAATGTCCCCTGTGCAAGCTTAAAGGGGCACTGACAAATCAAAATCATATTTTTTTTTATTATCCGAAACGATTGAAAACGATGCCGGGACATTACCCTCAAAATTTGAAATTTGGGAATTCAGTATTTGTGAAGTAAACAAACAATTTCCAAATGCCGAATTCGAAGTTCCCGCGCGATCGGCGCCGGTGCCCTGACGTCAAAAATTGCGGAGACCTGAGAGTCCACTTTCTTTCACGACTCCCTGCTGTTGCCATGGCGACCCAAAGCGAGGAGGAAAGGAGCGAGCGCCGGCGTTGCGGCGGACCGGTTTTGAGCGGTGTCGCCTGTTTTCCGTTGGAGGATACAAATCCAGGAGACGGCACCACAACGAACTCCCGATTTTTGGTATTTCAAAAAGAAGGGCCGTAGTGCGTTCGCAATTGCGTTAAAAAACATGTTTCAGGATTGCCGTAATTAAATGTTATAGAGATGTCGCCTACAAAGCTTCTAAATTTCATGATTCTTGACGTCACCGATCAAAAGAAGCGAGGAGGCGAGAGGCGGGAAAATCAAACGCCAAAAATAAAAAGGCGCGCGGGCGCGCGGGAATTTTTTTTTTCGCGGTGCGGTTTTTTTTGCGTGTCTATGATTGCAACTTGCATCGTTTTAGACAATAAAAATAAATACGACCTTTGGGATGTCAGTGCCCCTTTAAGGTAGGTCGCACTCGCACTTAAAGGCCGATGTGCAACCTCGTTTTTTTTGCAGGGAAGATAATCCTCTTAGCTCTCTCCTCTCCTAAAGTGCGAGAGGAGCCAAATTGGGGCAAGGTAAAAAGTGAAAAGGATATGAGAAAAGAGGAGGCGGGCAGAAGTGGAAAGCGCGAAGTGTACGTCGGCCTTTAAACTCTTTCACCGCCGGATACTGGAACCGGTACCATGTGCGACCAAGAATTGGTTCTGACGATTAATACCTTTTAGTGTGTTTTGTCACAGATTCTCCTAGTAAAACAAATAACCCTGGGAACGGGGCAGCTGCAACGTCGTTTGGAAGTTGTAAAAAGACTAAACATGAAGTTTCTTACGACGAGGAAGATGAGGAGACCACTGGACGCCACTCCAACAGCTAAAACGAACGGTGATTGGGTGCCGATGATGATCAGTCTGGAGATTGCGAACAGAGTGTGCTGGGTGAACTGCTTTCCGGACAAGTACAACCGACTGTCCATGAGATCAAGGTCAACCAAGAAGCGGTTTGCGATGCGACCCCGAGGAGTTGCCTCGAAGAAGGCAATGGGGCTCGACAGGACGGCACTGAGCATCTCGCCGTGCAGCAAGTGTGAGAGCTGCCGCATCGCCACGGCCAGTAGAACACTCCCTAGACTCCTGGAGAGAACTGAAAAAAAGGGAATTGTAAAAGAAAGGGCAGGTAAGCCAGTTGGTAAACACAGCCCGTGGTATTGAAAGCAATGTTGAAGCTGTCAAGCCTATGCTCAAGAATAAACAGCAATACGCGCAAAAAGAGCATCTCCGCGAAGAAACAAGCATGCAAATACGGAGAATGCGCCACATCGCCACTCTGCGAATTGACAACGACACGTGGGCGACCGTACAAAGGGCAAACAGACATATACATTAATGTAAGGGTGTGAGAGCATGCACTTTCTCTAAAGCGGCCTCTTTTGGGTAACTTGGTCGTCCACTGTCATAGGTGTCCGTGCCCTTCTGTAATAGATTAAAGACATATTTTGAGCAAGTACAAAACAAAAACAAAGTGAACATTTTGAAGCGTTCAATATCAGTGTAAACGGGAATGACGGCTGCATCGGTGTGGCGCCATTCGTATTATCTGAAAAGTAATTCAGAATAATTTCGAGCGAGATCAAATAAATTGTGCATAAACGTTCGTGTTAAAGATATAAAGTTGATGATGCAATTAATTCAAAGGTGCCAGCGAGCTCGATAAGAATGACGAAAATAATCCCTGGAGAAGGGGAACAAAGTGGACAAAGGACAAACACAAATCTCCAAAAACGGGAAGGTGACTGATAGAGCGCCGCACTGGAAATGGAAAGGACCCTGGTTCGATACCAAGATTTGGCAGAGTTTTTCAGTTTCACATCAGTCACCCAGCTGCGCTTAAAGACTCGTGTTTTTTCTTTGTCCCCCTTGTTTTCTCTCTCCAGGGATTATTTTAGTCAAAATTAAGCTGTCAGTAGCGCTCTGCGTGTTCACTCCCACCCTTCGTCTTTGTTTTTTAGCGCTTTACGCAGTGAAACAAATTTGTTTAACATATTCGCTTTCCGTCTGTCTTGGTACTGGATTTAAATTCAAAATTGTAAAGCTTTCGATTATAACATTTGCGGGTTTATAGGTATATCTCCCAAAACTTCAATATGACGAGCGTAGTGCGTTTGGGTTTACAATTTTCCTTGGAACCATTCACTGACTAGCCAAAAAGTTGGTCTTGCTGATATACGTTTCTTTTGTTACATTATGCGTTTCGCGGGTTTACCGTGTACGGGACAGACATAAATCCGTGGTGCCTGACAGAGCCCCTGGCCCAAAATGCTGAAGTTGAAGATAGTCACATGATAACAATTCTACAAAACAAATCCGACCAAAAAAAAAAATAAAGTAAATACCAGAGTATTAATCTGAAAATGAACTTAGAGCGGGTTGATAAATATGATGGAAAAAACACAAAATAATAAAACATCTAGGAAAGACGACAGCAAGTGCAGTTATTTCAACTATCAACCGGCATTTAACGATGCCACCCTCAATGCGTCTTTTTTTATTTCTGAGGGATATTGGAGACAGGGAAGGGAAGGGCCGACACATTGAAAGTGACATCATTAAATGCCGGTTACTATAGTTGAAAAAAACTGCACTGTCTGTCTTCGTCCCTACATGTCTTATACCCCTGTCAGACGGCAGCTAAAATGGCATTTACGCCAAATGACATTCAGGTTTTCAAATGACATTCATGATGGGACCTGCCAGACGACAACTAAAATGACATTTAAGTGATGTCTATTACAATTGCGATCGCAAATTCGTCTCGTGCACATAGAACACGTTTTCGTCAATAAACAATTTTAAAACGGCAAAACACTTGTTTTTGTGTGTGTTGTCTGCTGGGACAAGAAAATATAACAAAACACTGGGATAGAAAGTTGCGCTCACTAGTTTCTGACGAAAAAATAAAGCGAATCGTGGGGCGAAATCCATTAGCCAACGTAACGTCGTCATAAGCCGATCCGTAAGCCGAGCCTCCCGCGCTCCGCCACTACAGCTGACAGCTTGCTCGCACAGTTCTTTCGTTAATTTCGGTAGTGCTTGCTTGCTCTGGCTGTCCCTCACGCTCGACCTTCGGCTGCCGTGTTCACTTCTACGTCTGCGAGGGATCTTGGATGCCGTATTGCGCTTCCGCCGTCACTATCACGGCGGTATGGATTGATCTTGGTTCGAGCGTCTCCGGCTGTTGAGAAGGCCGTCCATCATCTTCGTCGTAGACGCATTCCGCGAGCTTCGGTTTGAAGACAGGCTACCGTACCTACTAACGTACTGCGTCTTCAAGCAGGCGTTTGGCTGATGTCGGCGACGTGATCAGGCACCTTGTGAATGTGTGTCGGTGTTACATAGAGTGCTTGGTTCGCCAGGTGACTTGCGTGCACCTAACCACCCCAGTGACAAAGTGAGTCGGCGCTGCAAAGCTATACTCTCCTGCGGAGGACAGAACCATCGCCAACTTGCTCGTCGTGAGGCAAACCACTGCCAAGTGATCGCACCCCTCCGACGCGACTGGCCGAAGATATTGAGCGCCGCCGCGACCGCTGAACGGTTAAACACACACGGGATAACCGAACTGCCCCAGGACTCCCTCAGGTCATAGGGAATCGCTGTAGGAATGCCACCTGGGACATCAAGTTTCAGCACCAGCGGCTACCAAAGCACAATAAATATAGTAAGTACCCTTTTTTGCGAAAACCAAGAAAAAAAAGAAAAAATGTTTGAACTAGTAGAAATAATATCCCTACATGTTTTTTTAGCTCTTAGAAAATGCAGGCAATCTTGTTTCAAACTCACAAAATTAAAAAGATAAAAAAAAATTCACTTGTCTTCCTTTTACTGAATGTCACTCAAAACTAACTGATATAGCTCCTGTCAGCATTCTAAAGTTATTCGTTAACTCGTTTTAATGTGAATAAACCAACTAAATTGATCATCTTCCCAATTGTGCATCTTTGATGAGGTGAAAATGACTGAATAACTGTTTCTAAATACGAGACAAGAGTCCCAGCTTCTAGCACTGTAAATACTATGTTTAGAAGCTATAGAATGTTT